CTACTTTGCTTACCAATGAAACGTGTCCAAAGAAACATCTACTTCTGCACTCAGAGTACTGAAACGTTGTCCCATCTCTGAAATCTGATGATGACCTCATCAGAAAAGTTTGTCACGGTTTTTCCTTCTTCTACAGTCACAGCTCCTCAGATGCTAAACCTTTTTGATGAAGCACTGATAATATAGGGTCAAAGGACAATAAATAATTAAAAACATTTTTAAAAGCATAATTCATATTGTAACTCCTCAGGGTCAATAAGTCATAACCACAGTTAGATATGATTAATAGGAAGAGAGGCTTGATTCTGGAGAACAGACGCTTTAAAGAGACAGCGTCTTAAAAGATGCTAAACTAAATTTTTACTAGCAGGACAGCAAACATTCATAAACAAACACCGTCACGTGAAACAGTTCCAGGTCCTTTTGATTGTTTTTCTGCATTATTATTACTTTCATTGAATGAGACTTTGTGTAAAACCAAAATATATATATATAAAAAATGGAAACCAAGTTTTTCCTCCTGTGGCTGTGAATAAAACAAGTTTGAGATCAATATAAAATTATGCGTTTTTACTTTATTTTATTTACAGCCCATAATTTAACCATTCTGTGTCATTTAACTGCTGATGAGAAATTATTCACCAAACAGCTGACAGATAAATTAGCACATGTAATCAAAGAGAATAATGTAAGACATAAAAGGACATTTTAAAATATTTAAATCGGAGCATAAATGTAAGTCTAAGCTGTTTTTTACGTACTGTAATGTCCAGTCTATAAGCTGCTACTTTTTTCACAGCTTTGAACCAGGCATCTTAAACCATGCTGCGGCTAAATTACGGATGTTTTTAAACCCCCATGTTAAAGACAATATTCATAAAACAAACATTTACTGAACATATTTGTGTATGTTACTGATACCTATTTAATTAAACATTTTAAAAATAAATCTTTCTGTGTAAATATCTCATGTTACAACGTGGAGACCTGTGGCTTATACACAAATGTGGCCTATACATGTATAAAAATGTTTTGTATTGCCCTGATATGACTTTTGTTGTGACTTGGCGCTATATAAATAAACTGAATTGAATTATTTAGTGTGCACGGCTTATGTTCGGGTGCGCTCTATAGTCTGGAAATTATGGTAATTTTATTTAACTATAGATGTGATTTGTTAATACATAAAAGTAACCCAACAAAGTTAAGTCAGGTAGGCTTCCATCTATTATCTTTACCTGCTTCTTCCTTTTCGGGTCACGGGGGGTCACTGGTCCCCATATCCAGCAATCACTGTGCGAGAATCGGGGGACCCTGGACAGGTCTCCAGTCCATCACAGGGACACATAGAGACAAACGAGACAAACAATCATTCACCCTCTCACTCGCACCTAGGGACAATTCAGAGTTACCAATCAGTCTAACATGCATGTTTTGGTCTGTGGGAGGAAACTGGAGTACCCGGAGAAAACCCACGCATGCACGGAGAGAACATGCAAACTCCACCCAGAAAGGTCCCGGCCAGGATTTGAACTGGGGCAACCTGCTCGCTGAAAGGCGGCAGCTCCACCAACTGCGCCACCGTGCTGCCAGATTGAACTTTGTCAGATTTTTTTTAACCTGAATTATTGAGCATTAACTTTGATACATAAAAGTAAATTATTTCAGCCATTCATCCACACAAAATGGCTTTTTTAGGAGCTATAAATACTTTGTAGATTAATAGATCTATATCTATAAATAGAGATTGTTCTGGAAAGAAAAAAAAACAGCTTTTCTGGACAAGGGCTGAATCTCCATTTTATTAAAGTATCAACAACTTCAAAATCAGTCCTGGGATGTAACGCTTGAGCAGTTTGTGAAAAATTACTTTTATCGCACCAATGACTTAAAAAGTCAGACAAATCACAGATCCTCATATTTCTGTTTCTGCCTCCCGCCTATAGACGAATTGTTTATTCTCATTATGTAATTTTTTTAGTGTGTTCTAAAGAAATGTACCAACAGACAAATAATGTTAAAAAAAAAGTCACAAACTCATAAAAATGTGGTGTTGCACAACAAAAACGTTAGGCAATGTTTGTTGTAGAGACTGAAATGAAGCTGTGCTGTTGGGATGAAGAGCTCTCTGCTGCTGACACAGAAATCAAACCTTATTGTCGGAGAGGCTGAATCAAATGGCAGCATGAATCACAGAAATTGGTTCTTGTCTCAGAGGCGAATAACAACATCCATTATCAGACACATTTAACAGAGGCAGTGCTGGGTTTAGCTTACAGATCAAACGTGAGAAGAAAACAGTAATATTGGAGCTGATGGTATTTTACTGTATATTTACTGTATATTGTAGTGTATGAGTATACGTGAACAGTCCCTCAGAATCACCTGCAAGAATGTCGATGGGCCATTTTTCAATTAATATAGTTGTACTGGTTTATTTACCGCTCAGTAGAAACCATCCATCCATCCATCCATCCATTATCTTTACCCGCTTATTCCATTTGGGGTCACGGGGGTCGCTGGTGCCCATGTCCAGCAATCACTGTGCGAGGGGCGGGGTACACCCTGGACGGGTCACAAGTCCATCACAGGGACACATAGAGACAAACGAGACAAACAACCATTCACTCTCTCACTCACACCTAGGGACAATTTTAGAGTCATCAATCAGCCTAACATGCATGTTTTTGGTCTGTGGGAGGAAACCGGAGCACCCGGAGAAAACCCATGCATGCACGGAGAGAACATGCAAGCTCGACCCAGAAAGGCCCCTGAACCGGGGTTTGAACCAAGGACCTGCTCACTGAGAGGCAGCAGCTCTACCAGTTGCACCACCGTGCTGCCCCAGTAGAAACCAATGTTTACTTTATTTTTCCAAATTCAAAACTAAAATAATTGTTTTCCTTGGATAAGGGAAAAAAAAATCACAGCAGTCATGCAAAAGAAATAAAAATAGGAAGTAATTGTTATAGCCTGTTGCCGACAGCAAAAGCTCAGACGTTTGTGGGTCTGCAGCCATCACGGTTTTCAGGAGGTTTGGACCCAGAAGGCAGACAGACAAGGAGCTCAAGAAAATAAGACTTATTTGTATTTCAAACAAAACAAACTGTGTCAACAAACTTACAAAACCCTCTAGAGATAAGGACAAAGAGGCATGGGGACACCGAGGTGTGGTACGGGAGTCAATAATGCTCGACTGATGTGGGAATGGAGACTGAGGGAACAAATGGACTGGGGCTGATGAGGAGATGGAAACAGCTGGGCTCAATAGGGTGCAGGTGTGAGTGACAGGATGTTTCATTTAATTTCTCCTTTATTTAACACTAAGAACAAATTATTATTTACAGTGTGAGCCTGGAAGCATCAACAGGTACAGGTAGGGTCAAGAGAAGGGAAGTCAAAACCATGAAATATCCAAGTCATTAAGAGGGAAATTCAAATTACATTAACAACAGTTCATGTTCAAAGTCAGACAACAACATTACTAATCATGAAAACATTTGCACTAAAAATGGCTTTTAAACAATTTTTAAAATTAGAACCGGAGACAAGTGAGGTCAGACCCAAAGTTTTTTGAAGCAGATTCCAGTCAGATGGAGCAGCAGAGGCAAAGCCAGATTTGGTCTTTAGAGTTGTTAACCACTAATACTGAGAGGATCGGCTGTTATACTTCGAAACTGGTGCTAGTTGCAGTAGATTAGTTAAATATGGAGGTGAATAACCAGTAACGTCTTATAAATGATGATAAACTAATTAATTTAATGACAAATATGTAGAGAGGCCATTTAACAAGAGGTGCCCATGATGTTTTATAAGGAGCATTTGTAACAAAGAGAATAGCAGAGTGATAAATTGTGTCCAGCTTACGAAGGACGCTTTTACAAGCATGTCTGTAAATTATGTCTCCATCATCTTAACACAGGTAGAATGTTTTTTTTCAACAATGGTTCATTTGGAAGCCAATAAAGATCGATTTCTATATAGAGACCGACTTTAACCAATTACAAAACATTGACATGACGTGAAAAGGACAGAGCACCATCGATACAAATTCTCAAATATTTATAAACTGTTACTTCTTCTATTTTATCACTGTTTACTGTTGTGAAGTCCACCGAGTTGGTTATGGTTCCTCCTCCATGACAGAACAACAAACATTTAGTTTTCTTGGCAGTTAAGGACAAATTTAAGTCAGAAAAGACCTGCTGGATTTCAAGAAAACCACAATCAGGGGACTTCACAACCTCATCCAGAGTAGAGCCAAAAGCGTATAAAATAGTGTCATCAGCATATAAATGAATCGAGGCCTCACAAACAAAATGCAAGATATCATTTAGAAATATGGAGAAAAGAGTTGGACCAAGAATGGAGCCTTGGGGTACACCTAACATAACCGGAAGAAACTGTAAAATATGAGAGTCAACCTTTACTTGCTGTGACCTATTTGAAAGATAATTACGGAACCATGTTAGTGGTTTCAGTTTAAAGTCTGTGGGTTAGCTGATGTATTGCTCGAGTTCCTCTGGGCGAATTTTTAAATGCTCCAGTGTTTCTCTGATCCAGCAATGGTGATCATTTAGGACACAGACAGAAGGCAGCTCCTCTCCTGCTGTTTTTATCAACTCCGCTTGTTATTTTTTTCCTCACTCAGGCAAAGCGATGGAGGCTGATTCATCTCCAGCTGTGTTGGATATTGTGATATGCTCTGTTGATCTCTTCCCTGTGAAACACTCAATTTTGATTTTGCTTCTGCCTCTTAAGGTTGTGGTTGTTTTACAGACTTGTCAAAATCTTATTAGCTGACATGAACCTGGCATCTGACATCACTTGTGCATAAGTGATGTCAGATGCCAGGTTCATCTGGGAGGAACTCATTAAATGTGCTTCCATTTATTGAGTGCAAAACAAAAGAAGTCCATCTTGTCTGTGGGTTTGAAGATTTTTCAGAACCGTTTATGTGAAGCTTTACCAAAGTGTGTAATTTTTGTTTTGTCTGACAGAGGTGTGTGACGGTCCGCTGGTGTCCAACCTGCTGCCTTCATCCTTCAGGAGCTCCTCTCAGCTGTCCAGCAGTCATGCGCCGGGTTTCGCCAAACTCAACCGGCGAGACGGTGAGGAAGAACTGCACGAGTCCTAGACACAGCTTAACCTAAACTAACCTTTAGCGGTTCTGATGCATGCTCAATAATCCAGGCAGATTAAGCTAACAAGGTTGAGTCAGGTCCTCTGGACGGATTCTTCTTTGTTGAAACATTTAGTTTAGAAACATTTAGTTTAAAAGATGAAAGAAAAATTCCTACAGAATACCTGATTCAACCTTATTAGCTTTCCGTTAGCTGGTTTTAGAGAATACTTATTACTTAATTGTATCAGTGTATTATTATTTTAGGAAGATGAATAAGTCTGAACCAAACAAAAGGCTTAAACTCAATAAAAGAAAAACTACAAACGTTCACACTATGATTGTTTTAGTTTGACGGTCTTACAAAAAATTTCACTGTTAAAATGCATGTTTTCTGGTGCATTGTGGGTAGTCAGTCCTGTGTTAGCTGTTTAAGAGGAACAGCTAATGTTCACATGTCAAACTTCTGCAATTTGCATAACGTTACAGAACAATATTCACATTAAATCATGTATTTTTAACATTTTCCAATCAGTTCAGACTAATTGAAATCTGCATGCACTGATAATAAACAACAGCCACCCCAGATATACCAGGGAATTAATGGCTTTTCTAGTAAAATTTTAGCTTCTTTTTAGTAAAAATAGCACACGACATTATTATAGAATTAAAGACATAATCATATAACATAACGTTGTTTAAACACATTTATTCTGTTGGGCTTATTTCCACTTGATGTGTTTTATTTTTTATTTTTATGCAGCTCCTGAACCTGTAATCTCAAGCCCAGCTATAAAAACACATTTAATTTTATCATTAAAATAGTGGCTCGTTTATTTAACTGGGTGCACACATAACTGAATAAGGTGAAGGTTATTGTTTTATTTTATTTTTTTTGCATCTTCAGTTCTGCTGCTCAGAAAACAGAGAGGGAAGAGGAAAATGTTCCTTCTCAGTTTGTCCTGTGGAGCTACTTTATGTCCATTCACCTTTTCTGCTTGTTTACTAGAGGAGTACTGTGTGCTAAGAGTGTAACAATTTACAATAAGATACACAAAATTTGATTCATTACTAGGGAACGCCTCAGGAACGAATCAGGAGCTGATGGGTAGTTAACCAGTACCATGGGGAACACACAGCCAAGCCTTATAAGGGGACTACTGGTTAGTTACTTTGTAAATGAAGAAGAACTAATCAAGAACTAATGGGTAGTTACCAAGGAAACCAAAGAGGAACGAATCAGGAGCTAATGAGTAGTTAACCAGTACTTACTGGTGTGAACATCAGTGAACAAAATAATAGCCAGGCAATGATTTGGTACTCAGTAAGTGATAGTCAGACATAGTTAAGATGACACCAGTACAAGATTATGAAATTGACAATGTATTTCATTAATAGGTTTACAAAAGAGAAAATCCAGTAAAATCAGTAATCACTGGGAAACAGGTTTTGAACGAAACGAGCTGTGACCTCACTGGTGCAGGGTTTATTCAGAACCCACATGGAGAATGTCTCCTCTGTTTCTGTGGTAATAAACCAGTAGTCCCCTAATAAGGCTTGGCTGTGTGTTCCCCAGTAAGTACTGGTTAGCTACTGATTCTTTCCTGAGGCGTTCCCTAGTAGTTAATCAGATTTTGTGTACCTTTTTATAAAGTGTTACTGCTAAGTGCTGGGTAAAAACTAGATTTATTTATTATTTTTTCAAATAAATCACTAAACTATTTGATCAGACTTGTATTATTAAAAATGGGTAAAGCTGCAGTGAGTTGTTTTGAAGCAGACTAAAACTGGAGGAACAAGAAAAAACAAGAACAAGCTTATTTATTTTGTTCTTCTCTGCTGTTTCTGACACACACACACACACACACACACACACACACAGAGACACACACACACATACACACACACATACTGGTGGAGGCTTGTATCAGGAGTAAAAGCAAACTGGGATTGTTCAGCCAGCTGGAAGTCCGGTGCTGGAAGCTGATGTGAGGCTTTGACAAAATGGAGATTTTGGGATTGCTGCTTTATCTCAACATCAAAGCCCAGAATCAGCTGGGAGGGCGAGGCCGGCCTAATCTGGATCAGAATGATTTTAGACACCTGGGAAAGCCAAAGGAAGCCGAGCATGAAGAAATTCAGCAGCAGCCCATCTGCTATCTTTGTTTGTTCACGTGAAGCACGAAGCCGTGAAAAAAGTGATTTAAATGTCCGACATATTCTCCAAACACATTCACCTGACATGTTGAGAATGGATTATTATGGCAAGTTGCAATATAAAAAGCTTTGGGAAATGTAATAAATTATAAATAAATTATAAGATGGTGGGCTTGTTTTATTTTAGGGTCCTGCTATTTGGTTTTCTGACTCTCCAGTACACAGTCAGGGTTTAGGAGGAGACCTGTGCTGCTGCAGAAGACAAAATAGTGGTAACATTTTGAGTCTGTGTTTATGTTTTTTTAGTCTTTAGCGTTAGCAAAATATCTCATGAACCACCAGATGGATTTCAATGACATTTTCAGACAGTAATCACTGACATTTACAACTTTTGGAGTTACTCAGTTCAAAGCAGCTGCTAATGCTAATCGACATCCGTGAACACAAAAATTAATATAACGCAATTAATTGTACAGATGTTGAGTCCCCATAAAAGTCCCAGGGGAGTGGTGGTGCAGAGGTTGGAGAAGGTGGGCCTGTGATCAGACGGTTGTTAGTTGGACTCCCCGAACCGACAACATCAAAATGTGGGTGGAAAAGGAGCCCTTGAGCAAGGCCCTTAACCCCCATCATCTGCTCCCAAACAGATCTCTGGAAAATGAGTCCTCGTGACTCAATGAGACTACGTGTATAAATAAAGGGTAACTAAATAATAAATAAATCTGGTGTGGTAGTAGCTGAGAGTAGTCCACTACTTACACTCCAAGTGCTGTCAGTTTGTCAAAAGCTGTTGATGTTTAGAAACGTTAGCGGAGCGTGTGAGAGATGACGTTCTTCAAAGAATGTTCGTTTCATTGTTCATGTTTGCAGAGGAGCAAAGTGCAACTAAAAAAAAAACAAGATAAAGTTTTTTTTTTATGCAACGTTTCTTTCAAGGTTCAAACTTTTAGAAGTGACGTCCCAGTAAACGGTAAGAGTTCAGGAACTTTCAGGGAACTTTTCATTGAGAAGCGCTCGTTGAAAATCCGACAGAAAACCTTCGAATTGTTGGATGTTTTTGAAACGTTTCAGTGAATGATTTCTAAACGTTACACCGAGAAAGTTGCAAATAAAAAAGATTTTATTAATAATTTTCCTAAAATTATATGTTTTTCTGTTGTATTTAAGCAAACAATAAACTACATATCTTCTGCAAGAACACTTCATCTTACCACAGTTATTTTCTAACACTGTAGGTCTTTTTATTTTTTGTGAAAACTTTGTGTGCTTTAAAACTCATCATTTTATTTGATCATAGAAAAATCAGCTTCATGCAGAGATGTAACAAAAAACAGGAATAAAGAAAAATATTGAAAGTGCTCACTTCACCACGAGACAATTAGGAGACAAATCGAACGACTAAAAAATAAATTCAAATGTTTAGAAAAGAGGCAACGCAAATTACTGCAGAAACATAAATCAGTTTAAATAAGAATAAAAATGAGGTTAAATGCTCATGTAAAAAACATATAACTACCTGTGAAGAAAACTGATAACTTGAAATTTTTTCTTTTGCAAAACTGCAGCATTAACGATTGCTGAAATTTGCTGAAAAAGCTGAAAGTTGTTAAAGCTAAAAGAAGCAACACATTAGCTAAAAACAAATAGATGCTGAATACTAGCTAAAAGCCAAAAGAAGCTAAATTATTTCTTAAAGCTAAAAATAGTAAAACACAAGCTAGCAAAGGGTTAGCTACAGGCTAAAGTAGGAAAACATTAGCTTAATGTAACAAAAGCTTAGCTAAAAGCTAAGCTGGGGGTGTGGTGGTGCAGAGGCTAGAGAGGGTGAGCCTGTGATTGGAAGGTCACCAAGTCAACTCCCTGGACTGATAACATCAAAAATTTGGGTGGAAAAGGTGGAACACCCAAACCTGCCTCCACCCTCATTTGCCTCACTCTGGGCCCATGAGCAAGGCGTTTAACACCACCAGCTTCTCCCCAGGCACCTTAAATGGCAGCTGTCTGCTTCACGTGTGTGTTCAAATGTGCAATGGGAAAAATGCAGAAAATAAATTTTCCCCTCGGGCATTAATAGAGTACAATAAAAAAAATTTAACACCGACAAAAATGAGAAAAAGGCTAAAAGTATCAAAACGCTGGCTGAAAGTAAAATTCAATAAAAGGCAAACCTAAAGTAGCAAAATGGACGCCAAAAACATAAAAGAACGTAAGAAAACAAAATTGTTTTACATTACAAATTATTACACATATGCCAAAGCAGATCAACACGAGAACATTTTTGAAAGAACTGAAAGATCTGAATGTGTTTCTATGGGGAGTCAATAGAAACTGTGAAGTTAAATGTTTTATACAAAGATGTATGTTACAAAAACTACAATTTGTAACACCCAACACCTAAATGAGCTAAATGTTCTGATATATGAATCTCTAAAGCAGCAGAAAGTTGAACATTTTGGTTGTTCATGGATACATTTCTACAATTTAGGTTCTCAGTCAGCAAAAAAAATAAAAATAAATAATATCCATCCATCCATTATTTTTACCCGCTTCTTCCATTTTGGGTCATGAAGGTCACTGGTGCCCATATCCGGCAGTCACTGTGTGAGAGGCGGGGGACGCCCTGGACATGTCTCCAGTCCATCACATGGACACAGAGACAAACAACCATTCAGTCTTTCACTCACACCTAGAGACAATTTAGAGTTAATCAGCCTGTCATGCATGTTTCCTGCAGGAGGTTTTGGTCTCCATTGAAATACAGATATTACAGAATTTGATTTATCTGCCAGTGAAGTTGCTGTTTACCAGTTTTTTCTGAATTCTAATTAGATA